TTGGGGTGGCGGTGACCCCGAGTGCACCCCCTGGAAGGGGGGCGGGGACGCCCCGGCCACCGGGGAGAGTGCAGGGCCGCAGCCCGAGGGTCCTCCAGGCAGACGTCACACCAGGGCCCGTCCCCCTGCGGTCCAGGGGCTGTGGGTGTGCGGACGCCAGGAAGCGTGGGACGGCGAGGCGGGGCCTCGGTGACCCACAGGAGGAGGACAACCTGGCGGACGTGCGGCGGCCAGGCCCAGGGGCAGTGCGGCCGCGCGCAGGGACCAGGGCTGTGTCCTGAGACCCTCCTGCGCCGTCCTCCCCGCCACGTCCCCAGACGCGTCCCAGGGGCCAGCGCTGGGCCAGACACACACAGGGCCTGCCGCCCGGTGCGTTCCAGAGGACGCGCGCCTCCTTACCTGCCCGCTCAGCTGGGCACTTGCTGCGTGCGCTTCGCGGCGGTGAGGCTCCCCAGCCGCGCCCTGGCGGCCCCTCCGCTCAGAGACGCGGGTTCCATTTTCTTGGCCTCGTGTGATGCAGCCAAAACCCACGGCTTTTACCAGCCACGCTTCTCCTTTTAGACTCCGCGGGTCTCAGCCGCCGGCCCCCCAGGCCTGCTGGGCCAGCCCAGGACTGCGGACTGACAAACCCACGGCCACCCCAGAGAGCCACGCTGGCTGGTCCTGGGAACCCCGCACCAAGTGCGCATGTAACAGATAAAAACAGGTACTTACGCGGTCTCTCCTGGACGAGCTGCCCTGGAAAAAGCCGCAAAGGACAGGTAAGTGGCTGCGTCTGCAGCATCGTACCCCGATGTGGAAACCCGCCCCGAACCCCACAACTGCTGTGAAGACTCTTTTAAGCTGATGGTATTTAGGAGTCGACAGAGACAGAAAAATGCCTTCAGGCCCCTCCCTCCTGTGACTGAAAGCAGGAAACTTCTGGGAGTGACAAGTGTTGTAAACTCCCTCTTTGGGGACAGGTCTCTCCCGGGAAAGAAGCTGTCACATGACCATGAAACGATCACAAAGTCGGGCTCCTGGGGAGTTTTGCGGCCGTGCAGAAGACAGAAGAAAAATCACTCGAAATCTGCTTATACAGATTTTATCACTTTTTTTTTTCTTTTTTGTCTCCTGTTTGTTCTGAGACCCATTTCTCCTTCCCATAGACGCCTTTCTGGAGCTTTACCTGGCCCCTGTTATGTCGCTAGATAAGCCCCTCACCTCAGCTATTATTTCAGGACTCATTTCTTTGGGGAGCTGCCCCTTGCGAATGAATAAACCTTGCTGACCTTCCCTTCCTGTTCATCGCCTCTTGCGGATTTGATTGGCATGGCCCCCAAGTGCACAACCTGGGAAGCAGAGGAAAAGTTTTCCTCCTCACAGAACATGCTTCCTGCGACTTCACCTCCGGCTGCTGACTGGGCTCTGAGGACCTTATGCGCGAAGGAGAACGTAGAGTCCACTGGCATCGCGGGGGTGCCGTGGGGGACCCCGGAGGAGAGCTTCGTGCCAAAGCGAACGCGCTCCCGGTGGCTGGAGCTTGACAGGCGCAGCGTGCTCCGGCTGCACGGCTGGCTGGGCCCTGACCTGACAACTCACTGGTCCTCTGTGGGTGTGGCCCTGGCTCCGGAGGGAAGGGGACAGTGCCACAGGCTCCCCTAAGCTCTGGTTCTTAGCGGAGATGGAACAGATGGGAGGCGGACACCCGGGGAAGCTGGGGAACACATATGTGACAACAGAGGGGACGCAATACAGGTGGCTCCTCTGCGTGAAGCCACCTGCCAAAGCTCTCCCGTCTCAAGTCACCTGTGCTTTCACCAGCCTGAAGTCACCTGTGTGTGTGTAAGTACGTGTGTGATGCACCTGCGTGATGCACCTGCGTGATGCACCTGCGTGATGCACCTGCGTGATGTCACCTGCGTGATGCCACCTGCGTGATGCCACCTGCGTGATGCACCTGCGTGATGTCACCTGCGTGATGCCACCTGCGTGATGCCACCTGCGTGATGCACCTGCGTGACGTCACCTGCGTGATGCACCTGCGTGATGCCACCTGCGTGATGCACCTGCGTGACGTCACCTGCGTGATGCACCTGTGTGATGCCACCTGTGTGAGGTCATGTGCGTGATGCCACCTGCGTGATGCCACCTGTGTGACATCACGTGCGTGAGCCCTGGGAAGGAGTCTGCAGTGGGCAGGACCAGACACCTGGCAGCTTCTTGGACCCTGACACGGACCCAAGACCCATCTCGAACCTCTGGGAAGGGGGCACACACCTCGTTTCTTTGTAAGAGGACGGAGAGACGAGCGGGTCACACTGGCTGGGCACGGCGGTCACCCACAGAGCTCTCCAGAGTACCCCCCATAGTGGTTTAAAGGAATCTGGGGTGCGGAGAGCAGGGCCAGCGACTCTGGGCCTGGCAGGTGTGCGTGTGTATGAGGGGGGGGACCCTACTGCAGAGGGACTCAGGGCAGCAGACCCCAGGCATGCGACGTGTCCTGAGGACGCGGTGTCAGCCTGGAGGAGGACGAAGGTGCGAGCTCCTAGGCCGCGGGCGAATAAAGACGTCGTGTGGCCGGCAGAAAGTCCCTGACTGCAATGGTTGGGGACACGTCCGCATCCGAGGTTAAGGTCCCCTAATGCAAGGGGTGACGGGTGGGGATGCAGGTGGGGGGGTGCATGGGCAGTTTGCAGGCTCACAGAGGGTCCGGGCGGTTCCCCATGAGCGGGCCCCTCCCAGCCCGTTTTCGCATTGTGTTTGAAAAAGTCAGGAAAGCGAGTGCGTAGACCGAATGATCCCAGCTCGGTGACGGTCTGACAGACGCAAAGCCGTAGCGACAGGAAGCAGTTCCGCGGTTGTGAGCGTGAGGGCTGCGGGGAGGGAGGCTGATGACAGGGGGGGCACGGAGGGCGTTCAGGGCAGCGAAGGCACCCCGTGCGACGCTGTGATCGTGGACAGGTGGTCATTACGCATTTGTCCTAAGCCACAGAGTGCGCACCGCCTAGAGTGAGCTCATCGCCATGCACTGCGGGGGCGGCTGACGCGTCACCCTTGCTTCCTCTTTCATAAAAACCGTGTCACTCCGCTGGGGGGTGTTCACAACGGGCGAGGCTGTGCGGGGCCGGGGGGCGGACGGGGGTACGCGGCAACAGTCTGCGCTTGGCGCTCGATTCTGCTCTGAACCCAAAACTCTCAAAAAATCACGTCTACTTAAGAGGAAAAAAAAAAAAAAATAGAAATACCAAAAGGGACCAGCCGTGAACAATCTGAAAATAAAGTTTAAAAAAAGTTCCAGTCACGACCACATCAGAAAGAAGAAAATACCTACAAACAGGTTTAGCAGAGGCCGCAGAGCAGCGGTCAGAAGGCTGAAAGCCACAGAGCGTCGCTGACAGCAATGCGCAGAGCGCCAGGCAGCCATGTCGGCCTTGGGGAAGGACACTGAGCTGAGATGTCACGCCTGCTGACTTCAGAACTTACTGGTCGTCAAAAATGTGTGGCCCCCTCACAAAGCCAGACAGACAGACAGGCCGACAGAACAGACGGCTGAGCCCAGGAAGAAACCCTCGTTCACACTCTAATGATTTCCGACGAGGGGACCCTCACCGCGGGGACGGGAAAGGACAGTCTTGTCCACCAACGGCGCTGGCCAAACGGACATCCACGTGCCAAATGAAGCTGCACAGCCCGCCGCACACCCAGTACGAAAATATCTCACAGGGCACTAAAGACCGAACTCTGAGAGCTCAAACCGGGAAAGTCTGAGATTCACGACGTGGGCCGCGCGGAAGGGTGCTCTAGCTGTGACCCCGAAATTATGCGACGGAAGAGTCAACGGTCGGACCTCGCCGAAAGTCACGCGCGGCCGCTTCACGGCAAAGACAGGGTAACGGAGTGACACGGGGGAGCCTCGGGGAGCGGGGTCGCCTTCTCGGCGGTGAGGACCCGGCTCCCCGTGGCATCCAGCGTGGGGACGGGGCCTGCGCCGCTTCGCCGAGGGCTGGGGTCCTTACCTGGCGTTGGATGTCCAGTTCGTAACACAGCATGTGACTTGGCATTTCAAACCTCGTCTCAGGGTTGTCCCAGCGGATGAGGTGGCAGGACCCGTTGTAGCGGATCGTGATGTTGGCTGGCGGGTTGTACTTTTCTAGGAGGAAACACAAACGACACCGTGAGTCACGCGTCTACGCTGTGGAGGGCTCCAGTCGATGCCTCGCGCGACGCATCTTACGAGCGACTCGTCCTGTCTTGAATTTCCTGCACGGAAGACAGAGACAGCGGCCCGGGGAGCCAGACCTCGGCTCGGCCGACCGTGCGTGTCAGGATGTGTCCCCCACTGCCGCTGCGTGGAACCGCTCCGGGCCAGGGAGCCCGCTCTGCCAGGTAGCCGGCTCTGCCTCCATGTTGCAGAATTGCGGGAGCCCCGGGCAGAAACGCCAGCGGGGGACAACCTCTTTGCCAGGGCCTCATTATTGCTGGGTCAGCCGACAGGCTGGCGAATCACGTCAGCCGCCAGCTACAGGGTCATTTCTCGTCATCCTGACGTCATCCGAGTGCCCAGCCGAGGAAAATTAAAGCAGCAACCGACGCAGCAGGTACTTAGTCCCGAAACAGACTCCGGGAGGGCGGCGTGTCCGCCGGAACTATGCCTTCCAGAAACTTCCATTCGAACCAGAAAGGCCCGTGCCATTCTGACATGCAATCGCCGAAGCTCGGGACCGGAGGGACCCGGAGGTGGAAGGGACCTGGGTCACCTGTTGCACAGTCTCCCTGTGAGGGAGCCCAGGTCACAGCGTGAACGGGAGCCACAGGACCCCGCGTGCCGCGTGGCCGGGCACGGCTGGAGATGGTCCGTCTCCTCCGACAACGCACAGTCGGTCTTGCCGATTCACCGAAGACACCGTGTCGGCCACTTCGCCGGCTGCCTACACCTTGTCACGCCCGCGCCCACACTCACGGAGGCTTCAGGATCACGGTCATGCGTAGGCATTTGCATGCTCAAGTGACAGAAAAGGCGTCACCAAACACACACGATGCCAGGTGAGGTTGACCAGGGCAATGCCCTCCGATGGCAAGTAACGTGCGTTTTTTTTTACTTTTTCCTGTACTTTTGTGCTTTCTCTTTGGCAATTTCAGTGTTTTAAATGCCCCCCGAGCACAGGGCTTGAGCCAAAGCCCGTTCAGAATCTGCAGACGTACTAAGACCCCTTCCTGGACCTTCCTTTATGAGGCTAACGGCGGAAACTTCTGCAAAGCGAGGACGGCCTCGCATCCCTCCTTGGGGCAAGTTCACGGCCACGGAGACCGTGGGAAGTCAGCAGCGAGACGCGTGTGCACGAACTCCCCGCGCCGAGGCAGCTCTCAGCTTCCGCTCACTTCCCCGCGGACTGACCCCCTGTGCACGCTCCGCCCCCTGCTCGCTTCCCGCTCTGTGTTGAAATGGCGTGGATCTAAGTCCCTGAGTCTAACTGCTTCTTGGGGGTTTTCGTCTCTTTTCTCTGGAGGCCCCCCCCACCCCCAGGCCTGTGCGTGTAAAAACGAAAAATGAGAATTAAATTGGCATGCGTTTCTCCTGTTAACCTGGCTGTCGTGAGTTTAGTTTGCACTCCTCAGTCACAGAACCTAAGAGGGTAGAGGAAACATTTTTTTTTTCATTCCCTTGCACTCGTCAGCACAAAAAGGCTGCCATGTGCCTTGCGGAGAAAATGCTTGCGTCCGTCACGCTTCGTTCAGGCTTGAGGGATAGAGCCATTTGCGTGAGTTCCGTGTGCACTCATCGGCAACGCGTATTCGAGGAGGTGTCTTTAAACAGAAACACACGTAAAACGAGCTTATGTGTTGACCACTTGATGGGCACGTGAGCAGACACCACGCCTGGCTTCACCGTAAGTGACGTGTCAGTATTTGGTCATTCCCTGGCCCCTGCGTGCCAGCCCCACGCAGTCCACGAGCAAAGTGAGACGCAGCGAGGCACATGGCTGGCACCGGGCACGGCCGGGGACCACGGCAGGCGAGACATCGTCTTACCCATCTGAACGGCCTTGAACGGCGTGAAGTCCACGAACTGGATTGCTGTCTGCTTGCTGGTTCCGTTCACCAGGAAGAAGTAATTATCGGTCCGCTTCGGTTCGGCCAGCTTGTCGAAATGGCAGCCCACGCGTGTCCCCTTCGAGTCCACGAGGTAGTGGGGACATTCGACCTCGTCATCGTGCCTGCAATTCCCAAAGGGATCGGGGAGAGAGTGGGGTGCGTGTGTCCTGCTGGAGACGTAGCGCCTAAAGCAAAGCCCCCCGCCTCCCAGCCCCCCGATACCCGTCTGGAGGTGAGACGGGGAAGGGGGTGCTGTCAGCCTGCTCAAGTGTGAGGGCGGGTGGGGGGCACCCAGGCAGCTGCGAAGAGGCTGCCAAACGCAGGACGGCTGCCCGTTCCCGGGGCCGAGCGTGGACACGCCGGTCCATCATGTTCTCCGCATGACGGTGCTGATTTCTCAGTCCCTCGAGGACGGGAGAGGGGTTTGCCGTTTGAGGACAGGTGACAGCTAATGTTAAACAATTTTCCTTTCATTTTTTTTTTCTGACGTTTCAGAGAGATGCCCCCGCCCCGAGGCGCCGCCCCGACGTGGCGCTGGCCCCGGCTCCCTGGGCGTTGAACGGGAG